AAGTATGAGGTTCGGAACATTATGTGGGTACTATCTTCCGCAGCGCTTAATTTACGCCTAAAATACGAACTCATAATAAATATAGTTCTGCTTAAAATGCAAGGTTGAATTTTATATATTCTTTTTTAACGTGAAATGTTCTTTGGCTAGGTGTTCGGAATTTCATGAAGCTTAGATAAAGGTGAAGCCCGGATAAAAGCGTGGCCGCGGGGCTTGACGCTGATTGGTTGACAGGTGGGAAAGGAGTGAGGTGTTCGACGCTGATTGGTGAACGCGGGAGATCATGTGATCAGAGGGGTAGGCGAGGAGGGGTGACGAGGTAGGCGAGACGAAGCTCGACCGCCCGTGCGAAGTGAAGAAGGGGAGATCTCACAAGTATGGAAGCCTCTGGAAGAACGCCGGGCTACTCAGAACGGTAAGCGGTAGTATCGCTTCATACTATGCTCTGTTTCACCTTATGTTGTACCGCATAGAAGGCTAGAAGCGCGAGCTCATAGCGTTGGGAGCTGCTCTTGACGCGCGAGAGCTGTGCCGCGGAGATGTGCCCTAGAGCAAGGAGCTCGCGCTTGTAGCCTTTCCTGTGGTACATCACAGGGTGAAACAGAGTATAGGAACAATTAAATCCCTTGGATATGAGAAAGTGGCGCCCTTACCTTCGCACCTACTAGCCGGACGCAAACATGTACGAACATACAGACGACAACACCTATCAAAGTAATTGCCTGATCGCTGTCGTTTCCCATGGTAGTCGCCATTTTGGACCCTTTCAAAGCTTCGAAGCTTTGAGAGGGTTGTTAAAACCAGTCGCACCAAGATGGGTATGATGCATGTGGGAGACGAGAGTGAAAGAAGAGGGAGCATGTGACAGGCGGTCGGCCGAAGAGTCACGAGCTGGTGCCGAAGACAGCGCGTGCTGCGCGATGCTGGGGCGGGCAGGAACGATGGACCCGTCCTGGCTGGTCTGGCCCTTGGCGATCCCCAAAGCGGTCCGACAGCGAGGTTCCGACTAAGCCTGGCGGAAACGGCGAGCCCTGGCCACACCGGGCTGGGCCATGACGATCCCGGCGGGGTTCGGAAGTGCACGGCATCTCCAACGCCGTGTGTGATGCCATTCATGATCGCACCGCCATCACACGCAACTTCAGTTCTTAGAGGCATTGAAAAATAATTTTACTGTCTTGAAACACGCAAGACGAGCAATATACTTGTAAGAGACATGGGGAAATAAACATGTGTGATAAGTTTATTGCATGCACAGTGCCAAAGACGATCATATTGGGGAAGGAACGCTTTCAGTACGGTGTTGCTCCATAGCGATATTGATGCGATTGGTTTTAACGACTCTTTCAAAGCCTCGAAGCGTTGAAAGAGTCTTTAAATCCAGTCGCACCAAGATCGCTATGAAGCATCACCGTAAAGAAAGCTTCGCTTTCAGTACGGTGATGCTTTAGCATACTTCATAGTACTCAAAGCGAAGCTTTGAAAGGCTCGAAAATGGCGGTCACCATGGCAACCGACAGCAATGAGCCAATAAACTGGAGAGGTTGTGTCATCGGTATGTTGGTATTTCTGTCCGGCTAGCAGGTGGGACGGCAATGGCGCTACTTTCCCAGATCCAGTAACTTTAGGAACAACTATCAAGTGTACACACGGTACGCATTAAACTATCTGATGAAGGGAGCCGTGAACGTAGACGTCAGGCGTCTGGAAACTCAGGAGTATCGGTATAGACGTTTGTGGTGCTAGAACGTTTCAAGTATGTAACACAATTGCCTCGCAATTTGCCATGAATTTTACGCGACTCATTTCGGTGTGTCGAGTTCAGAGGAGGGCATTTTAGGTCGCCCTCACTCACCCTCGCTCTCACAGCCAAACTCACCCAAGCCCCTCACTCACCTTTACCCTCACAGCTACACTCACTTCAGCCCCTCACTCACCTTCACACTCACAGCCACACTCACCTTCAGCCCCTCACTCACAATCATCCTCACAGTCCCTCTCGCTTTCAGCCCTTCACTCACCCTCACTGAACTCGCGGCCCTCACGCACCTCACGCGCTCATGGCCCTCACGCCTCTCACTCACTCATGGCCCTCACACCCCTCAAGCACTCATAGCCCTCACGCCCTCACCTCCTTCACGGCCCTCACGCACTCATGGCTCTCACGCCCCTCACACACTCATGGCCCTCACGCCACCAGTTTCGCCCATAAACATTACGTCGCAATACCAGCAACACGGGCCGCCCGCGTTCACACGCAGCAACCGATTGCTGCAATTTGCCATCATTATCATGAAATTTTCTTTTTTTTTCACTATTTAGATACAAAATTACGCGCTATAAATGTGTTTTTATGCATTTAAATCTCGTTGAGAGTACTAATGCATCTTCCTGAAACAGTTTAGCTCCAAAAGCGACCAATTTCAAACCAGAACCAAGTCTTTTGTTGTCATCACCGGCACGAGGTATCACGTGAAAATATCGCGTCCTTGATTGGATGTAGCCGCTTCAAACGTCTTCGAATTGCTCCGAGTTGCTCGCTTGTTTCGAGCCGAACCCGATCTGAACGATTCGTGTCGATCTAGGGAAAGCTAGGGAACAACCCGCCAGCACCACCAAAATTGCTGAGAAAGTTGCTCCGTCTGAAGCGGGCCTCACGCACTCATGGTCCTCACGGCCCTCACACCCTTCATGCCACTCGCGCACACATGGCCGTTATGCCACTCACCACCCTGACGCCCCTCACGCACTCAAGGCCCTCACACCCCTCACGCAATCACCGTCCTCACGGCCCTCATACCCCTCACGCCCCTCATGCACTCATGGCCCTCACGCCACTCACCGCCCTCACGCCCCTCACGCACTCACCGCCCTCACGGCCCTCACGCACTCACGGTCCTCACAGACCTCACGGCCGTCACTCACCTTCACACTCATGAATTTTCTTAGTTCAGAAACTCACTCACCCTCACCTCAACTGTGAAAGTGAGGGTGAGTGAGGGTGAGTAAAAGCCCTCATGAGTGGGGTTTGCCGAGGTATGTTGACGACATGGGCGCCTTTTTTTTACAGAAAGGGCGAAAGAAATAAAGGGAAAGGTATTTCGGAAAGAGTATCCTCTTCGACTTCTAAAAGACCATCTAGGAGACTCCTAGATGATCGGCTTTGGAAGTTACCTTCTCAGAGCTTTAGGGCAGCTCTAAAACGTGTTGTTCTTTCCCAAACTATGTGTCCGGCTGTCTGGGACCCTCAATCTGAATATTGCTAGCAATCCGCATGTTCGTGCACTTTTCCAAATCCGCAAACGCCTGTCTATTATCCTGTGAAAACTACGTAGTGTGTGCTAAACACGAGAATATCCCGATGGCCCTCTTCCATAGCTAAACCACCCCCAGTGACCTTCCCTACTCTACAATTCAACTGCTCTTCCCCGCTCTAGGCTCCAGCCCGAGCCAAGAAAGCTTACAAAAACCCCTTAGGCTTCCTGACAGAAAGAATTGAAGATTGTCTGCAAATGGTTCACCTCAACCTTATCCCCTCAATAACTTGAACCATTTCCTAATCTTCCTTCTATCCGTTTAACCTTTTTGGTTTTTCTTTCTTCCAAGCCAGGAAGCAACTTCTTCGGTAGAGAAGGCCCACATATCTCCCCACCCAAAACAAGATCTCCCATTTTTAAACCGGAAAGTGGGTTGGCGTCGTTTGCATTGGACAACAAGCTAATCATAATTGACACTGAAGATTGACACCTAGCACGAGGCCTTGGAGATGACGTCTTTGATCCCCCTTAGCCGAGTAGGGAGCTGCCTAGAGGAGCCAGGCTCTGCTAAGCTTTTCGTATGTTCTCTCACAGGAAGATGCACCCTGAGCTAACCCGAGTGGCCCTGGAGACCTTGGCTCATTCTTTCCTTCGCTCCTCACCACCCTTCTAGTTTCTCCTGCCGATATTTTTTTTCTCCCCCCCCCCCCTTCCAAAATAACGCTGCAGTGAACATTAATCTTACACAACAAATGCCTTCATGAGTTGAAACATGTGTCCTTCAGTACTTTACCCTCACGTTAAAACGGAAACGACTTAGACCAGAGGATTTTTGCAGAAGGCTGCTGCACCCTGCAGCACTACGGCTAGATTCCCAGATGCGCAGCCTTGACTCATCGTTCCGCCCAGCAGCAGTCTTTTTTACTTTTTTGTCGATTTCTTCTGGGGTAAGGGCGCACTCGCAGATTAACGGTCTCCGTTTCCTCTAGGATATACTTGACGATGTTTCAAGTTCAATAAAAACAAAGTGGGGATGGTTTTGCTTCCTTTCTTCCGGCGTCACCCCGATTTTGTTCCAATCAAAACGCCCCCCCCCCCCCCCCTAAAAAAAAAAAAAAGAAAACGAACACGCTCAAATTTTGCGCCCTACCCAAGTCATCAGGGGAAGCAGGGCCCCCCTGCCCCCCCCCCCCCCCCCCCCCCCTCCTGTATGCACGCCTATGATCTATACGAATTCGTCCGGATGCCGTTCGGTCTTCGGAACGCCGCCCAAACCTTTCAGAGGTTTATTGACGAGGTACTCCGGGGACTAACCTTCTGCCGTGCCTATGTCGACGACCTCCTCATCGCAAGCTCCTCACCCGCCGAGCATGAACAACACCTCCAAGCTGTGTTGGAGCGCCTCAAGACCTGCGGCATCATCGTCAACACCGCCAAGTGTCAGTTCGGTGTGGTTCAAAAGTTTGTTCTGGTTACCTAATGCATGCAAGTTACCTATGGCACTTGACATTTTACTCCAATATAAAGGTGCGCTTTTTCAGTCGCCTCAGATTAATAAAATCAGAAGAGCTCTTATGTAAATAAAAAATACTCGATCGAACTATTTAAGCACATTTTTAAAACCACAGGTCTTATGCAAAATGTGTCAACTTTATGTGGTTAGTTGATTTTTTCAAATATTTATTTTCTAATTGCAGAGTGCATACAACGAAATGCTTTAACACGGCTCGCAAGTATAAAGTTACGAACTTTATTTTTCACACTTAATATACAATTTCCGCAATAACGCTCAATATCTATGTTTTATTATTTTCTTCGGAAGTTCTTGAATCATTGTTTTTTCTTCGTGACAACCTTCACCATGCATTGCTAAAAATAAGAAGAAAAAAACAGTAAATATTAGCGATATTTCCCCGATTTCATTTCTTTTTGGCTCGCTAGAGCTAGCTTATGAGCATTCGTCTTATAAAACCATCAGTAAACCTACCAGTTCTTGGTCGTTCAAATTCTGAAAAGAAAACACACATACCAGTTTAAATCTTCCACTATTTTAATTCGCGCTGTAATCCACGGAGTATAAAATTTATGAACAGTTGTGTAGAATCGTGCACTTTATTGTGAAATCAGATTTAAGACACTTAACAGCTAAGAGAGCATTAGTGACGTTGTGATTATTGAGACAGACCAGAAGAGTGGATGTCTGAATTACGGTATTACGGGTTCTGCAAGGGGTGAGGGAGCAAGCAGTGAACAGATGTGTGAGGGATTGATTTCAGAACGCTCTGCAACAGTATGTGCCACTTGGTAGCTGCGTTTGAGCCATCCTTTATTCTGCTTTTTTTTACTTCAAAGTTTTCTATTTTTTCCTCATCACAATCTCGGGTTTTCAACATAATGATTAACATCACCAGCAGGCCATCACACTCACTGTCTTTTCATAGATTTCCACACTCCACGAAACTGATAGTTTGAACCAGTCATCGCCGGTTTTCTCTATCTTCTCTTAGTGGTGAACTACTGCCATTAAAACTACTGTAGTGGTAGAAAACGCTCGTTCGGGATGCTAACATAAGCAGTAAATTTTGATGCTCGCTAGTGCCATTTCGTAAATAAAAAAAAGCGCCCGAGTCGTGTTCGGGCTAAAATGTCAAGCAGTGCGCATCACAAGTTCAACACAAGTATTTCTAGCAAAGACGCAGTGCCCTTCTTGCGTGCGTGGGATCCAAACAAAACTATCCCAGACAAAATGGTCCCAGGGAAAGTTTGAGACATGGCTTGCTTGTTCTTTATGGTATTATTCGATTGTTTGCACTTGCTGCATTTTGGACAAAGAGAAAAAAAAACTTTATGCTCATTACTTAAGTTATGAAACGATAACCATATTAAAGTTTTCATATGTAATTCAAAACACACTGCCTGCCAGTAAGCAGAGCCGAGAAGGAAAAAGTATAATATACAAATAATATACAAGTACATATATAAAATAACGTGTTTCATAATATTTTACGTATTCAGCGCAGGAAGAAAAACGCTACCACAAAAAAAAAATAAGATAGTTGACGTTTGTGTTTGTACAGTGTAAGGGCGGTCTGTTATGAGGACCGAACTGGTTTAGGCTGGGGATGAGATATGTTGTTAGTGCAGCACAGCTGCTAGCCTGGTGTCTTTAACGTGCATCACGCAGAAGTGATACACGACCACTCACGTCATCACAGCTATGCCGCATATGCATAATAATGGTCTCAATAATGATATGCATGCGTTGTCATCTAGCTGCGATGCGTTTTCTTCCAGCGCCCTTGCGCTAATTAAACATTATAAAAATACTGTCGCATTCTCTTAAATTTTCTTCCCGCACCTACACTACGTTTTACTAATGTCAGAGTGCAGCCGACGCTCCGAGCTGATGGGGCAAATCAAGGAAGTCTGAAAACAAAACGTACTAATGGCGTTCGCGATATTTTTGTGCATGTCATTCCGGGCTAGTCTAAATAAATCGCAGGGCCCATCACGACGTTGCGCTTTCAGTGTACGCGCATGTATTTGTGTACCCATTTCCAAGCTGCAGCTTTGTACAATGCGAATAGGAACCATGCACACGAGTGAGCGATGTATTATAACTTTAATTAACGTTTGGGGTTCTTTGTTGTTCTCCTCAAATATATCACGTAAACCTTAAATACATTAAAATATTCATTAAACTTGTGTTGAATAAAGCTTCAGAGTAGCAGTTCACTAAAACTTGAAAGGGTGCCCAATATGTCGACAAATCACTTGGGAAATTTTTGTCTTGGTTGCGCTTGGGGAAATTCTGTCCGCAACCATTTTGACCGGGACAGTTTTTTTCCGGGGCCATTTTGACCGGGACCATTTTGTCCTACACTTAGCGTCGGCACATAAGCGGAAACAATTTACCTAGAAAACTATGTGGATTGGGAGGGGGCTATATTCGGTATGTTTATTTATGATTCTGTACTCACAAGTTCTTTTATGAAGCATGAATCCTGAAGGAGAAAAAAAAATATCGTGAGAACAGAGAGCTAATATCTAGTTTAGTGTGTTTGTTCTTGACGAAGCGCTTCCCTCTTATATCCACAGCGACACAAACATGAATAAACAATTAACACGTTTTGCTTCATCTGCACACGCTTGACGTATAACGCGAACTTTTATACTGTTAGACATTTAACAGCCATGCTATATGTAATGGAATTGGAATGATTGGCCTACTATTACCATTTTCATGCTTGATTCCCTGGGTAATAGCAGCTACTTCTCATGCGAGACATCCAGGCAAGTCACCGAGCCAAAGAAACTCCTAATGTCCGCTTATTTCGGACATATACTGTACACGATTTAATTTTCGCGGCATCCACGGAACAAAAGAAATATCGCGAAACATATATCGGTAACTGTTATATAGCGTATCATACCCAATCGCAAGATATTATGCCAGAGAAATATTCGTGAACTTCACAGTCCACCATATTCTCGAAATTTCAAGCCAGAGGAAATAAAGTCGTTTAAGGTACTTTTAAGATATCCCGGGATTATTGGTCTTAAACAGAGAATACAACGAACGAACTCGCAGAGTTTTTATTTATTTTTTACCAAACAAAATGTAGATTTTCAGGTTACATATGCATGCTGGGTAATTAGACTTCAGCGGTGTCCCACGGTTGAGGTCTCAAATATGGAGCTTAGGCATTTATTTTGAAAAGAAAGAGAAAACCTACAAGCCTTAAACCTTGATTTTAACAAAGCAGTTGATGAATGATGTTGGGGTAAAGCTGTTAAAGGTGGATTACCTTCCGACATTAAACCTTGGTAAAATTAACATGAGCTTTCGTCAAAAATCACAAAAACCAATCCTCACCTCTGTATTTTTTCCTTTTGGGGGGCATCGAGCCATTACCTGCGTGTGGATAAGAAAGAGTGCCACTTTCTTAGACGGAAGGCACAAGTCACTTGCTGCGAATACAGACTGGTTTAAACATTTTCGCGTGAGTGTGACCGACATTTTTCTTACCGCTTCTGGCCGCTTATGACCGCTTATGTCCACTTATGACGCTTACGATTACTATGACAACCGAGGTCCTAGCAACCTGTCCTAGTGGAACGTAAAGGCATACATGTGTATGGAGCAAACACGCTGCGAACATGCTTGAGGCGTGTCTGCGGATAATGTTTGTCATAATGTCCGCGGAGAAAGTCTGCTTCGTTCGTCGGATATGCGAGCAGTTTGACTACGGCTTTGGGTTCATTCGAAGGACGCCTATAGGAATGGAACGTTTGTGATAGAAGGCGTTACAACCTTTGGCCTCCCATTTGCTCGAGTGCTATTATGAATTTGAGCGAGTTCGTATACTTTGCGTAGAGAGGCTTTCCCCTTTCACTGCCTCCGCGTTGATTGCGTTCTTTTTCTAGTTTATTCGAGACAAATCTAAAATATATCATTGTCACCTAATGAATGGAAACCAGAGCTTAGATTAAAATTGTTGTCACCAGTAAAAATATATATATGCTTTTTTAAATAGAATTATCTTTCCAATTTTGATCGTTCAGATCTACACTATTGACATGTAGTTCGTATTGATGATAGAAGAAATGCCGTAATATAGGGATGCCGATGGCTTACAAATTCGACGTAAGAGCACGCGATTCGAAGAAAATCAAACTGTTCATCAACATTTATAAAAAAGCCGTCACGAAGAAAAAAAAACATTTTTGTTTATTCAAAGGTTAACCGCCTCTGGGCTTCTCGCCCATATGCCAATTTATGGCTACGTACCAGCGATAATTTAATTACGAAGACAATCACAATGGCTGGCTCGACTGTTCAGCAGGTAACAATTAATTCACTGAAGACATTTTGTAAATGACTGATTTATTCAGTGAATATTGGGTGATGTCGCGCATTCCCAATTCGGATGGCTAGGCATAACTATTTAAAGCCTTAGGTTTACTTGTGTGCTCACGGGCTGAGCCCGGAAGGAAGGAAATGGTTAAAGGCACTTGTGACTGGTTTGGCGTCCATAGGCATGTAGAAACGGCTGCAAGCTAAGTTGCATATTGTCTGCCCGAAGTGGTAATTAAAACGAGGGGCCTGCCACCCTGCATATATCAAGCTGCGGTTCACACGGTCAAAATAAAATGTTTCCTTTAGTTTCCTCTGGAATAATTGTAATCTTAACGCTTGAGTTGGCGTCCGTTAACAAGGATTTGTGCCAATAACAAAGTGACTAGAAATGAGGGTGCAGTAACTTTAAACAAGAGTTTTAAAATCGTTTCCCACCTTTAATCGGCAACACCAACATACCTAGCTTTCCTTCACGACACGCATAGCCTTTAAACATGCAACGTCCAAATCTTGCGGCATATTTAGTGGTACATGCACCTTCTCCTATGATATAAAATATCCATTAGCTGAGGTAGTTGTTGCGGCGGTGCTAACCCCACTTATGCCAGAGGCACTTTTTGTTAAGAAAAAGAAGACAAAGTTTTATTTCTTACCTCATCCCAGGAAATGTGTGCCTCCCAAAAGCAAACCCAGCACAGTCGCCTAAAACTGCTACGTCGAATGGGTCTTTCACATTGTTGGAGACGCCACCGGTGGAACTGAGCACAATATACATCAGCCGATGTCTTTGTAAGCGGACGGCAGTTTTAAGGCCATCTACAGGAAGTTCGTATTTGCGACAAGCGTAGCATTTAAAACAAACAAACAATGACGGGACTTCACTTCGTTTCAGGATAACGTGGCGAACTGTGGAGGCTGACTCATCAAGAGTGTCGGAACAAGTCATGGGATGGCACTCCGTGGTCAAGTCCACGGAAGCCTCGTTACCGCCACAGCAACTGCGCCGTCTGCGACATAAAATATCCTTTAGGTTTCATCTCTTTTTTTAGCGTCGATTGAATTGGCGCACAAAAAAAGAACGGGTAAACACTGAGGAATTAGTAAGTTTATTTAAAACAAAAAAGTGACGACACCTCCGTATCCCTTCCGGACTTTTTTCTCCTTGTATCGCCGTGCTTGCTCAAAACATCACCCTGGCAGTAGCACCCACCACAGACTCCCGTGTAAGTTTTATTTATTTACAGAAAAAAAAACCTGCAGCGCCGAAAAACTTCGGCATTATAGCAGGTACAGCCCATGAATTAATACGCTCAATAAAATAAAAACAGAACACTTCGATATATAACCTGGGCTGTCAAAAAAGAAAATACATAAACATTGAACATAAACAACATTAAAAATCAAGACCATTTCCTGAGCTAAATGGTCCCACGTCGTCACGAATAAAAAAAAAAAGACTTTGGTAACAGGTTCCACTGAGCGACTGTGCGTGGAAAAAATGAAAACTTCTTATAATCTGTTCTACAAGAAATTTTGCTTACTTTTCTGGTATGATCCACACGATTTGAAAAATGTATTTAGGTAATTTTATGTGGTTGCTTTTATCAATACCAGTCATATCATTAAAATTTGCAAGCAAGAACCTCAATCGAAAATTTTTGCGCCTTGACAATAAAGTTTCCCAACCAAGTACATTTTTAGTGTCGGTTACGCTATTGTTCCTACTATAATTTCCTGTTACGAATCTCGGCGCACGGTTTTGAAGTTTTTCTAACTTATCTGCAAGTTACTTTTGATACGGATCCCACAAAACACATGCGTATTTCAGTGTAGGTCTTACCAAACAGCAATAGGCAGTCTCTTTTAGTTTCTGTGGAGCACCGCGTAAATTTCGAATAAGAAAATTTACAGTGCGGCTGGCTTTCTTAGCAGTTTTAGTGACATGAACATTAAAAGAAAGGGTGCTTGACAAGGTAATCCCCAAATATTTAACATCAGTGTTATTACTTAATCCATGATCATCAATAAGATAGCATGATGGGACAGGTTTACGTTTTCTCCCAAAAGTGACTTGCACACACTTTTCCACATTTAATCCAACTCCCAAATCCTGCACCAATCCGATATTTTATCTAGGTCCGACTGCAAAAAAGCTGAATCACCAACATTGTCTACCCTACTGTACAAAACACAATCGTCCGCAAACAGCCTTATGGGCGAGTTAATGGTCGATGAAATATCATTAATAAATACAAGAAATAAAAGGGGTCCCAGCACTGAACCCTGCGGCACGCCAGAAGTCACATCAACGAAATCTGAGCTGGCACCGCTTCTGACGACACACTGCTTTCTCCCAGAAAGGTAATTTTCAATCCAACGGTATATGTTCTCATCAAGGCTAAGGGAACTCAGTTTGTGTAGCAGCAAAGGGTGAGACACTTTATCGAAAGCCTTGCGTAAATCAAGAAAGATGGCGTGCGTTTCTCCTCCCTACTCAGCAGTTGAAACCAAGTCACGATAAAGTTCTACGAGCTGTGTGGCGCATGAGAGGCCCTTTCTGAAACGATGTTGAATAGAAGAGAAATATCTATTTGTTTTGAAATGTCTCACAACATTACTATAAACAATATGCTCTAAAATCTTGCAACATATGCAGCTCAGTGATATGGGGCGATAATTCTCTATATTGTGTTTTGATCCGTGCCTATGGATTGGCGTAACACACGTCATCTTCCATTGACCTGGGAGTAGACTTTGTTCTAGCGATTTACAAAAAATAATCTCTAAGTAACGAGACACAACAAATGAGCATAATTTTAAAACTCTCGGTGACAAACCATCGGGACCTACAGCCTTTTTTAATATCGAGCTCACCTAAGCACTTTTTTATCCCTTCTACACTGATGACGACCGGGGGCATTTGATTCACAATTTGTTCATTGAGAGGGGGGTAAGAATGAGTTCGGACGCTGGAGGCAAAAATAGACTGGCAGTATGTATTAAAACAGCTTGATTTTTTTTAACTTTCTTCAATTACTTCCCCATTGTATAATATATTTGGAATTTTCATGTTCTCCTTACGCGTCTTTCTGAGGTATTTCCAAAATTCCTTGCTACTAAGTCGCATGCCATCGGAAAGTTTATCAAAATACTCGCGTTTTGCAGTGGTAATAGCTTCCTTATAGGTTACATTCAGTTTCTCTAGCTCTGCGGCTCCCGATATGCATGGATGTAATTTATAATATTTATACCCACGTCTGCGCTTTTTTATCACCTCTCTGACGGCAGCTGTCATCCAGGGCTTATCATTCGTTGCTTTTGCACGTATTGTTTTAACAGGAACGTATTTTCTATTAATTCCAACAAACGATTTTCGAAAAATTCCCATGCAGCGTCTACACTGTTTTCTAGAGCGAAAAGCTCGAAATCTTTGAAAGATTTATTCAGCCCCTTCTCTATAGCTTCAAAATTACCTTTATCATACAGAAAAACTTTTCTGTCATTATCCAGGGCACGGAAAAGCTGAAGGAACGTCAAGCTGGCAGTGACTATCTTGTGGTCGCTAATTCCTGGTAGGACTGCTACATCATGAATTATTTCACAATTACACAACAGTAGATCCAGTATATTTTCGCCTCTAGTTGGGACCTGGACAAATTTCTCGAAACCATATGTTGTCAAAATATCATCAAATTCACCATAAACAGCCCCACTTGGCAGAGTGGTGTCATCACCATGCCATTTTAGCTCTGGGAGGTTAAAATCTCCAGCAAGAAATATCAGCTCATCAGGTAAGACGGAAACAACATGGTTCAAAGCGTGAAGGGTCGCGACACCGGTTTCAGGGAGACGGTAGAAGACCCCAATAGCCATATCTTCTTTATTAGGGGTTCGTATCCGGCACCAGATCGTTTCAAGCTGTTCTGTTCCCACATGAATCATCACGCTGTTTACAGACTTGCTTTCCCACATATACCTTCCCACATATACTTGTGGGAAGGTATATGTAGGACAGTCGGGAAGATGTATCAGCGTAAGGCTCAGAGAACATGCGCTATCTTTAAAATCTTCTCCGTCGGGGCATCTCGCTCTACATGTGAGAAACTGTAGATGCGCCCCGCTACTGTCCAGCACAAGGATCCTGAAAAGGTGTCCAGATAAGCGAACTCGAGAAATTTTTGAGGCTGAAGTGATTGCGACCAAAGTACACGCCTGCATCAGTGCTTCTTCGGTGACTTTGCCATCAAAAGAATTAGAGTACATGAAATATTTTCCTTAGAGATTCTTAATTTGCTCTACCTTCCTCTTTCTTTTTCTTAATATATTTACTGTCATTTCTTTCACTCTTACTTTAATCATGCCCCCCATTTCCTATAGTTTTTACAAATTTCCTTTTTTTATTTTTTATTTTTAATTCTCAGTTTTTTCAGATCCTTTCACTCCTTTCTCATAAATATTTCTAACATTTAACGTTAGGGTTCTTCATCTTCCTCATCTTCCGAATTAAAACGTCAGTTGCGAGTAAGCGCTTGTCCTGTGTTGTCTCCCTCTTGTCCTTGTCTTTTGCGCTTTTTAATTTTCGTAATGTTTAACCAACTAGGCCAACAAATAATTTTTCAACACCCCATCCCCGTGTCCATTTCTGTCCCTTCTGTACACGTCAAATTCCGGGGGGAAAAGTTCAGCATTCAGTATTGTTTCATCAAACCATGATTCTGTACCAAATATAAGGTCAGGATGAAATAATTGAATTAAGCCGTTTAACTCTTCAATCTTATTTTTACGCTGTGACAGTTCACTAACAAAGCAGTATATGCCTTTTCAGGAAAAACCCTTTTAGAAACAACACTTCGTTTACCATTTCATTTTTCTTTATCACGACCTCGCTTTTTATCGCTAGTTACCAGTTGGCTGTCAGGGAAAATAGATGACATCAGAATGTTTTCACGCTGTCACGTAGACGCAGTTTTGGAGTCCGAAACTGCGTCTACGTGACAGCGTGACAAATTGAGTGTATGCTGTCTCATGCGCTTTTTCTAAAAGAGTTCGCTACTCTAGCAGACCGCGATGTTGAGGCGGCGGACGTTCATCCGACGTTGGTTGGTTTCGCAGCAGACGACTCTTGCCCAGCAGACGACAGCCGGCTCTTTGGCGCAGTGGCACTCACGCTCCTGTGACGTGGTGTCACGTGCCTCATTCCGACGCTCTTATTGGGTCGCGGGGGCCGTAGCCTCGACAATTCGCCAAGTTATCGTGAAACGGAGTTTAGTGAATCCGGAAGCAAAGTAAGTAAACGCTACTATCGAAAACTAAACTTACTTTTTGGAGGCGGGCCAAACGGGCAGACTGGTTCTTTTCTTGCAGAAAACCAATAAATTGCATCACTTGATCAGCTGCAAAAAAATACAAATATGTATATTTATATATATTATGCGATTCCAGCAATGCAATCAGGGGATCGAAAACAACTATTGTAAGGAACCTAATCTTAACCATGTTAAATAAACCTGAGACTATAAGTCGAAGGAACAGAAAAGGACACGAGACGCCGTCCTGTTCTTTTCTGTTCCTTCGACTTATAGGCTCATTTCTGCCCCAGTCTCAGGTTTATTCAACATTGTTAACATTTGCCAGCTCCCGCCTGCATTTTTATTATATTATCTCCGACCTAATCTTCGTGAGAAGCTGGTTTTCGCTCATTGTGCGCCTTGAAAAAATATCGCGCAATATTGATCAAGCGAATGTTTCGGCCGTAGAGAGTATGCGCCAAGAAAGGGAGAGAGAGGAGGAGGCGAGGGCGCGGGGGGACGTCAGAATGCCGAGCTCTGATTCGAACAATTAGAGGGTAGACCTAAAGTTAGCTGCCTTTGTTTCCACTGCACTCGTCGAACGGGATCGAATGCGAAAGTGAAACGCAGGACGACGGCGTTCCGCGTTCTAGCGTGTTGGACAAGTGCAGTGGAGACAGAGGCCACTAGCTTTCGGTGTACCCACTAATCGTTCCAATCAGAACTCGGCGTTCTGACTGCCCTCGCACTGCTCTCGTATGCTCCTCTCCCTCACTTTTTCGGCACATGGCACTCTAATTCGCGAAATATTATGCCCGCAAGATATTCCCGAATCTTACATTTCATGAAATTCGGGAATTGTTGATCCCGCGAAAATAATGTCGTTTGCGGTGTTCATACAAGTTCCCCTCGAAAAACACTCTAAAAATAGCCGCGTTAAGTGACTATTTGTGACCGCGTTAGGAACGCTTGAAGACAATGACATGGAACGCGTTGTTATAGGGAGAAAGACACTGAACGTTCATCGCTATTTTAAAATATATAACGTTTTTAATTTCAAGAAAACATGAACGTTGAAGTGGTCAATGTTTACCCCCTGAGTGCAGTGCAACGGCGATAAAGGAAACATTGCACACGAGAGACAAAAAACCGGATACCTTGTTTATGCTGGTAAAAAGTTCAACAATAGGATTAAGTTCATTTCTTTTTCTTTTTTTAGTGCTTTTTAATTTATTGGTTTATACCCGGCTCCCACAGGAAATCGAGCGCGTCGCGGTCGAAAGCCGCATGCATAGGTGCACTGAGTTGCTTGTCTACTTCAGTTCGGTAAACATTGATCCGTCGTATAAAATGGGGCTTGCGTTCATGGTACTCTTATACTAAATTTCTGTCCAGTGACTGCTGGCTATATCTAAGGACAAATACTTTTTCCCGCTGTGTTTCCACGGTGCATAAGAGTAGACCTGGGATGCACTCCTGAACACTTCTTTAATTGCGGTGTGCGCATGTTTATACAGCAAAGAAGGTAACCATCCCCAATGGGCGTCTGGTGCCTCAGCTGTAGGCGAGATATTTAGCCAGTGCAGTATCACCGTACTGGTCCCTGACGTGCGTCATGCGGTAGTGATACACGAGGGCACGCCGGTAAAACGAGCACCTATAGCCTGGGCGAAATGAATTGAACGCAATTTAAACTTACCGCCATAAATCGGTGTCTTACCTTATCGCGCTGGGAATTACTACAGAGGTGCTCGAAGCTAGTGCCTGCATTAATTGAAAGTATGAATACAAGAAACCTTCGGAGTCGAAAGAAGGAAAATAAGAAACTTGTTTTGTCTATGGCAAAATTACTGCTAAGCCTTTTGTACCATACATAAGAAAATCATTGTCGGTTATTCTGCCGTTTAGTGCGATTGCAAAATTTAAAAAAAAATGGAAAGAAAATAGAACTGGCTTACCTACTGGCTTACCCTTCATTTTAGCCCAAATAAGCGCCACAGTGACACATCATAATTTTAGTGTACATGCAACGTAGAGGCAAAAGAAAGTTTTTGATTTTCCTTGAATTGCTCAGGTAAGCCAATCTTTCTACAATTTTAGCGAAAGCTTCCACCAAACTTAGCCAGCTCTGTAGAAACTCCCAGCGCGATAAGTTAAGAAACCTATTTATGCGGTTAGCTTAAAGTGCTGTCAATCCATTTTGCCCACACTGTAGATAGAAAGGAGCAGGGTTGGGGATCCAACCCAGGATTCATTGGGTTCTAAAGCGCATGTTTTCACTCCATGAGCCCCGAGCTACGGTGCGCTAACGCAATCAACCACCGAACACCTGAACTCTTGCCGTGAGCAGGTATCGCTTAAAAGGATGCTGAACCAAACATTCCGGTGTCCATAATAAGTGGCGTATGCTCTTTCCACGAGCCCGCAGCCGCCGGCGTACTCGAGCACACGCAACAAAATTGACGTCATCATGTCCCGTTCACGCCTAAGATCACAGTGAAATGTGTGGGCTCCGGAGAGAAGGAGAATGCAGACAGGCTTTTTATGTCCACAGTGAGGTCTGGCTAAAAATGTAGGCGTTTAATTGGTCTAATGAGCTCGTAGTTTTCTCTTGTGGAGATAAAAATCCTGTCTTTATTCTCCCTTTGCCCGAATACCATACGTTTCACTCTCATCTTCAGCGTGAATGGAGGCCTATGACGTCAATTTCGTTGCGTGTGCTCAAGCACACCGGCGGCGGCTGGCTCGTGTAAATATCGTGCGCCAGTCATTATATTAAGTGGCACACGATATTTCCACGAGCGTTCAGTATCCCTTTAAAGATTTTTGTACTTTGAGCAAATACCGCTTAGAATGAATCCCTAACGTTTATGAGCAATGAAACACGCGTTCGTTTCTCACTTCACGCAATAAAAGTTGCAAAAAAAATATTAAAAAAAAATAAAAAAACCGAGTATCGTTTACCTTTTTAACTCGCAGCCAGACCAAGCGGCCACGTGATCTGGAGCCGATTATATGTTCCCAATGTTGATCGTAGCCACACGCTGGTGTTGGCAAGGCACAGGACTCGCGCTGAGTTTCAGACATTGTAATGGTTCGGCTATTGTCGTCATTGCAGTGATTGGAGACGGGCCACTACCCGAATGTTTCTCGACCAGTTGGATATCACGGCCACCAAATCGAGTTCCCACGCAACTCTCGGGTCCAATCTATGAGCCGCATTTAAAGATCGTAACTGGAGGATACTGCGATCTCCCGGTTACGTCAAGTTTCGCGAAGGAGAGATTGAATGAAAACACTCGCTTTGTTCCTTGAAATTGCACCTCTACAAAGGAGTGGAGTTTCTTGGCCAGTGGCGTTGCGTGCACATATCTTTGAATCCCAGTAGTGCCAGTAAGCTAGTGTAAAGGAAAAACATTCCGATTGAATATCGTTGCACCACCCCTTTAAAAACACGTTTGCTTAAACTTTTCATAGATGATTTAGAAATTTACAGTAACATTAAACAGCGCATGATAGCTAGTACAGGGTAGGTTATTCTTTTAAGAATTCACAAACCATCTTGAGAACTCGCAGGTCCAGTGCTCCATACCAGGAGGCTGACGAATAGAAGGAGAGTCCAAGCTGTCATTTCCGTCGTCTCTGTCTTTTTTTTTCAGCACTGGGAGTCTCTTGGCTTTCGTCCCACTTATATGGTACGGGTGTTCCTTGGTTGAGCCCGTCAAGTGACTCGAGCGAGTTCTCGCCTTCACTTTTGCGTGATGCTACGGCCTGAGCAACTACAGCTGTTGTCTTCAAATGACCGCTAACCTTGCACGTGGCACGCTCGTTTGCCTCAGTTTTCATCCACGCCCCTTCACCGCTTGAAGGTTGCGTGAGCGTCGGTGCGCGAGCAGCCTTGTACGTCGTAATCTGGTATCTAGAGGGCCTTTTCGCGGCGAGAAGCTCGCTAGTGGCTCCTCTGTTTTCCTCACTATGGGCAGTGCACGTGCTAAACACGCAGTTGTGTTTTACTTGGCATAGGGCATAGAAGCTTGACATTGTTCGTGCTTGCAACAGAAGAGGATGTTGAAGATTCTTACTCTGGGTTGTGAAAAAATTCTACCAGGCGACGAGACTCAAAATTCAGACAATTGCAAGCATAGCGCCCCGATCGGTGCTCCATGCGTGCAACACCTGCAGCGTGCGCGTGAAGATAGCTTGGGCAAGCTTTAAATAGCACGGGCTTTCCCGCATGAGCAGAGACATGGCTGCGATCAGTCACATTGCTTGCAATAGTCTAAGTTCGGCGCTGTTTATAAACCTGACTATGTTTATGCTTTCATAGACTGAAAAAAATAATGTTGTGGGTGAAAATTACTTTGCTGTTTAAATATTAATTCATTTTCGTTTGCAAGATTAATTTCTTTAATTGACTGTAGGGAGCTTGTTTGTACAATGCTGGCATATATGAAAGTGTAAAGGTAGATTAGAAACCAATGTTCACTTCTCTGGTTAAACGTGTAAATTCTTTGGTTACATCCTAGCGACGACGTATAACCAAGCAGGATAGTGACGTGCGCGACCAAGGGTGTCGGTGTGGACGGCCTTGACGATTGGCCAAAAGCCAAAAGTCTTGAGTATAATTAATTTTATTTCCATTGATGGAGACAATGGGGATATGAGATTGTCAACTTTTACGATGTTGGTTTATGGACGTGACGACTCAAGGTTTTCACCGTTCTTTTTCCACTGTCCATCAAGATTGTCGCAGGCAATTGATAACTCTGGTCGTGACGTCACAGATAAGAACCTTGAGGAGAAGCTGCTGAAACCTCTCGTGAGCAATACCGCTTCTAACAGTGAAGCTAGTCACGAGGCGGTAATGATCGGAGCGAACAACGGAGATGATGAAGATGCAGACGGCAGTCATAATAACGCCGACTTACTGATTTGACCCTCACTTAGTAAGAGCCGTCAGCTCATAAACATGGTGCCTTCTTTTTAACACGAAACCAATTCGCGACTCCAGCAAAACGGACGCCACCAAGCGGGAAAACCTGGAACCAGTCGGTCCAGGTTGCTCCGCGCCCCGCCGCGTCTTTGCTGGCTTTCGCGGACACGTGCT